GGATGTTGTGTCAGCTCGAGATAGAGAGGATTGGCAGTTCCGGTTTTCATTGAAGGATGATTCTCATCGCAGCCGACTGGAAGATGCCAAAGAGAAGGCGCGAAAAGCTGCTGACGCTTTGAAGTTGCGAGTGGATGCTGACCACCCAGACTTGTTGAGGCTTCGCATGCTGTTAGCAAAGCTTTTGGTTCAGACCAACGAGCCAAGTTCTTTGCAAGAGTCCGAGGATTTGCTGCGCCAAGTCGTTCCTGCCTGTAGTTGCAGGTACGGTCCTGAGCATCGCTGGACCCAAGAAGCCACGATGAATTTGGTCTTTGTGCTGGAAGAGCTGGGCAAAACCAAAGAAGCAGAAGAGTGGCAGCAGCGCATTGTTCATCGCCTTGAGCTTCTGCAACTGGCAATGAAGGTGATCGCCTTCTTAGTAATAAAAGGTGTAAAAGTAATCTGCTTCCTTGTCGATGTGCTGTACCGAACCCAACAAAAGTGGCAGTGCCTTGCTCGGGTGGATGAAGATGCTGCAGAAGGCCTAGACCTAGATGATCTTGCCTGGGTGCAAGATGTTCTTCGGCACAAGCAACAGATGATTTGGGCCAGATACAGGGCAGTTGGATCATCCAACCAGAGTGTCTCGCAGGCCTGTTCCGCGCAAGCAAATGGGGAGTCCTCAGATGCACCAGTCGCAAGTGCTGTAGCAGTAGCAAGTCAAGCTTCCAACCAGAGCTGTTTGTGTCCTCCAAGCTGTGAGTCGACTGATGGAGCAAGTTCTGACAGCTGGGCTGAATGGAAAGCAGCACACAAAGAGATGGCAAGGACAAGGACGCAGGCATCCTCAGATCCTTGCCATCCGGGCGATTTGTTGCTGAAGTGCACCATATCTGAGCAGACTGGAGAAAGGCCATTTACAGGGCAGGAAGCAGACGCCCTGGCATCTTCGGAACAAAGAGTCAAAGAATGTTTGCCTTAACCTGGGGCAGGCCCTTGTAAATTCCAACCCCCCCAAGCGGAAACCTTTGTACACTTCTCTGCGTTGGTCTCCTTGAGGCTCCTGCAGGCGGTTGGGCATGTTGAAGAGTCCGGATGATCTGAAAGGTCTGGTGTTGTCCAGTGAAGTATCCTTGAAGTGTGGCGGCTGGATGAGCCTTTCTTCGGTCTGAAGGCTGCTAAGACTTCGAGATCACTTGCGAGTACTGAAAAAATGAAGATCCTGCAATGCTGACCACATTTGCTTGATTCTGTAAGGTTGTAACCAGTTGAATTAGGTCAAGACTTCAAGATCTTCAAGACAAGAGATACCAAGATTCGTGCGACTAGGTGCAGATCGCAACAGAATCCTTTCTTCTCGTTGATTTGTCAGGCAAATAGACATCTGACGCTCGTTCTTCAGCGTTCGATTTGAGACCCCTCCGAAAGATCTTTCAGCAGGCTTGGTTTTTGCATTGAGAAGCACAACGCTTGTGCAAAGGTTTTTAACCTTTCTGCATAGGTTTTAGCGATTTTCAGATGCCCTTGCTTCCCTTCCTTCATTCCATGCAGCTTGGCGTCGACCAGGAATCCTGGCTGAAATAAAGAAGAGGACTGTTCGTGCGCCGCCGTGATTTCCGTTGGTTTGCTTGTTTTGATGCTTGCTGCATGTTGACCAGCATAGGCAAGCGCAGCAGCAACTAAAATATAATGATCGCATATAGTCCAATCTCATACAATGCTGAGCAATTCTTTAGCGGCAATCCAACAACATCTGAGCGATACTGGGGGAGCAAGCTCCAACCCAGGAAAAACGATTGAAAGAAGCAGGCGACCCAGACGGGTTTGTCCAGAGATATCCACAGAGATGCGGAGACAAGTTGGGCACAAGAGGGCAACACCTCCACAACCGTTGCCCCAAGCATATCGCCCTGCAAAAGGATTGCAATCCCCAAATGGTACATTGAAACCTTGTAGAATCCCGCGCGGTGTGGATTGTTGACGGGATAATTGCGTGTCGCAGCCTCCTGAAAATGACTTTAAACTGCGGACTTGAATTTAAGCAGCGCATAATGCATTGGAGTCTACAAACTTCTTTATGCTGCTCAGCCTTCTTTATGCTTCTTCTATATCAGTCCAGGAAGGCTGCGCATTTTCTTTCTTTGCAGCGAGGGGTCTTTTTCTCGTTGCTGGCCACAATGGAACGTTGAAAGATGACACATCTTTTTTGGCCTCGGGCTGCGCGTGTAGCAAACATCGGTGGAGCCTGTAACGGACTGCTTCTGCTTTTGGCTTCTTGCAATGCTCTTGTCCTTTCAAGATCTTTCAAGTTGTAGCTTCAATCTGCTTTGAGTGAAGATCCTTCCGTATTGTTGGCTGGCTGTTCTGCACTGCATGGTTTTGTTCCACACTGTCAACCATGAGTTTACAGTAGCTTGAACCTCTGCCAGGCTAAGTGCCCTATCACGAGTATTTCAGTTAAATGCGTGACGATTCTGGACTTGATACTGTATCATTTATCCGACACCTTGCATGCTGAATTCTTCTCCGTTTTTTGCCAGGCACAGGAGACCCTGCAGGGGGTCGCGACTTAAATCAACGGTTACGTTCGAAAGCGACACTTCGATGTGTTGTAGCGTTTGCTTTTTGTCGGATTGATTGCTGCTTGAATATGCTCGACCCCAGTCGCTCCTCAGCAGCCAGTTATGCTCAGCCCCATTGACCTTGCATCACCGCCCACAGGCGGCGATGGCCAAACGATCGTTGTCCTGGCCAAGGTTTGAGGTTGTCAACAGTCCTGTGAGTACAGATCGACACAGCGAGAGCCCGAGCAATGCTGAAGCCCTTCCATGTGGGTTGGAGCTTACCGCCATGGTTCGAGACCAAACGACCCCAATTGACTCTGGTGAGGGTGGACGCAACATGGATTCTATGGACTTGCAAGGCGAGAGTCTAGAGCCTGCTGATGATGCTTATGAAACTGCGTCAGAATATGATTTCGTGCTGGTGCCTCAGACACCAATAGTGGAGCCTGAGCCAGCTGGGGCCCATATTTCCCAAACCCACGATGAGGTGCAGCCCGGGCGCAGTCAACCTGCTACGAGCATCGGCTCGGAGGGACATCTCCAACCTGCTGAAGCCAGTGATTTTTCATTTTTTCCACCTGTGCCAATGGTGCTAGTCGCGCTACCTCAACCCAGCCCGGCAATGCCATGTCAAACGCCCATGGCACGGCACGGTCCGAATCAGATGATGTACCAGACAGTACCTCAATATCCTGCCCCTTGCTTGGGCTCCCCTGCTTCAACACCAGCTGCTCTTCAATCATTTCAATCCACTTGCGGATTATCTCAGCCCTTCAGTGTGGGTGCTCTGTTTGCTTCTAACAACGACTACCCGTCCATGGCCTTTCCAACTGCCACAGAGGGACTCTCAGGTCAGGTGTCCAACTCAACAACAGTGCCAACAAAGAAGGATGCTTCGAAACCAAAGATTTGCGGAAGCCAAGGTTCCCAGCCAGCCAGTGGAAGAACCAATGCTTCCAGCAGCCAGCAGTCAACAACAGATCCAAAGCGTGCAAAGGAGGGGGCTGGCGCAGACCCAAAGGGAACTGCTTGCAGTGAACGCCAGTCTGGCTCCGTGCCCCAACAGAAGATGCGGGAAAAGCTCTTGTCCGGATGTACAGACAACCTCAGCTTCCTGATAAAGGCACCTGATAGCCTGGCTGAACTTGATCTAGTCAAAGGTTCTGGTTTCCGAAAAGAAGTCCAAACATTCTTAAATTTTTCAGCTGATCGAGAGTTTTCGTGGAGTGCCCTCTCAGTGATCAAGATGCCTGCGTATCAAAGCAGTGCCAACTACGGCATCTCTGGCCACGACTCCAACATTTTGGGTGTCGTTGCCATCAAGTCGTCCGATGGCTCCGGGATGCCCCTGAGGATTTCTGTTGGCATTTGGCTGCACCAAGAGAATTCGTGCTTGGATCGACGGATGAGGAAAGATCCTCATATTCTTCGTCGTGTTATCTCGCAAGTTGTGTTGCAGGTGTTTGGGGCAGAACCGCTGCACAGAGACCTTGACGTTCGAAGGAATCGCTTCAAGTTGGAAGGAGTTGACAAGACAACTCCGATGGAGGTGCAGATTACATGCAGCAAGAACGACGAATCGCAGCCAGAAGCAGATGTGATTGATCTCAAGGCTGCTTTGGACCCAGATGGCTTTGAATTGTTGAAGCAAATCTTTAAGAGCAAAAACCTGAAACTGTCTGGACAAGAAGAAGATTTTGTCGACTTTGCAAAGCTGGTTTCTAACCGGTTCAAGTCGCGCCCTCCGATTCCAAAATGTTTGCAGCCGACAAGGGACTCTACAGATAGGTGGCTTCCAGGGGATTTGCTGAAGTGCACCATCTCTGAGCAGCTAACCGCCTCGCCTGATCCGGAATTTCGGAAAGAGTTAGATGGCCACATCGTTGTTTTGCTGCCCTCGCGTGACCCCGAAGGTAAATTGCCATTGAAGGAGGATGAGGACGTGTTGGTGGCAGTTGTGGATATTCGACAACGCAAAACTTACCTCGTTCCTCGAATTGCTTTGAAACCCCTTCATAAGCGCACAGGACTCGAACAGTATTTAGCGGACAAGTACAAGTTTGAGGTGCTGGTGTCAGGGACGTGGCAAGAGCCAAGGAGAGCCAGATTGTGCATGAAGGTGGTGGGGAGTGACACTTGCATGGTCCAGTTCGAAGATGGATGTCAAGCCGAGCCCCAGGCTGTCGACCCAGATGCTTTGATGGACCCAAGAGACAAACTGCGAGGCAGACTGAAAGAAGGAGCGAAAGAAGGCAAATTTGCACTTCAGGAAGTTGCCACTCTAGCGTCTTCTGAACAAAGAGTCAAAGAATGAGCAAGTTTGCCTTAGCTGAACTTTAGCCTGGGACACTTCTCTGCGGAAACCTTTGTACAGTTCTCTGCGTTGGTCTCCTTGAGGCTCTTGCAGGCGGTTGAGCATGCTGAACAGTCCGGATGATCTGAAAGGTCTGGCGTTGTCCGACAAAGTGTCCCTCAAGTGTGGCGGCTGGATGAACCTTTCTTCGGTTTGAAGGCTGCTCGAGATACTGGTGGATACTGAAAAGATGAGTCTGCATTGCTAACCGCATTTGCTTGATTTTGCGAGGCTGAAATTTTCAGAACCGAGACTCCATGCTAGAGCTCGCATATATAGGGCTGTTGCGGTCAAAACTTCAAGACAAGAGGTACCAATATTTGAGGGATTAGGTGCAGACTGCAACAGAGGACAGCAGACACCTTTGTCTCATTGATTTGTCAGGCAAACAGTCATCTGAAGCTCGCTCTTCAGCCTTCAATTTGAGACCCCTCAGAAAGATCTTTCAGCAGGCTTGTTTCACGCTGAGAAGCAACCCTTGCGCAGTGGTTTCAGCTATATATGTCCATAATTAAGGCCCATTGATTTCAAGATGTGTTTGGCGTTGACTGGCAGCCCCAGCTGCAGGTCTTTTTCTTTATATGTCAGCAAGGATAGTAGTCACGCGTTGATGTCTCTGGTGCTCCCCATAGTCAGATCCAGGCAGCCTTTTTGATGCAACATGAGCTGTGAAACGAAGACTGTTGAGTGCATCAACAGCAAAATTAGACACATTCAAACCAGCGATCAGCATTCAAGGAACGTGGCCACATAAAGTGGATGTCAGCTTTTGATGCTGACTGACAGAGCTAATGGGCACCCTGGGTTCACCAGATCACTTAAAATGAAACGGAAGGACTAAGCAGATGTCATCAGACCAAGTGCACAGCTGTAAACTTGTGCGGAATCTACTGAGTGAACATGTTTCTGCGGTTCTTTTGCCGGGGAATTCCCACCAGTCATCCTGTGACTATCTTGAAGGCTTGCATGGTTGAGCTTCGGGAATGAGAGGTGCGCAGACTTGAGCTGTTTGACCTTTCACTTTGAGCAGGTTCACGGTTGGAACGAGACATCTCTAAAACTGTATACCCTGAGATTGCAGCTTGTGACGCGTACGGCGCCTGCGGTTGGAAATGGTTTGAACAATTTTGAACACGTCATGTTGTTGCCACAGCCATTTGGGATTTTGCTGAAGTGTCCGGAGTGTCCACCATTGTTCAGTCTTGTTCACCGCTGTTGTGATGGAGTTCCTCATGGAATCTTCGAAAGCCACGTTGCGCCTCATGAGTGGCTTGGACTTCATGGTGGAGCGCCTCGAGCCGGAAGACCTCGGAGGTGACTCCATGAAGGGTTTCCGGCGCCACTTGCAGCAGGCCGAAAGCTCCCGGTTTTGCCTCATTGCGTTTTCCATGAATGCCAGCCTGGGGCAAAGCTCGAAGCTTCGCGAGGTTTGCAAGAAGAAACCTGAGATGATCCGAGAAGCACACGATTCGGCAGACAAGTTGCTGCCGGTTTTGGTGGGTCATACAGTGGAGGAGGGCACAGTGACGTTCGTGCTGGATATGTCCAAAGGTGAGTGAGTATGACGACTCAGAATTCTTACAAGCTTGGGAGGAGGATGTTGCCAGCTTCCTTCGCGAACCCGCTGGGCGACAGACAGGAGCTGCCGCTGACACACATCGTCAAATCAGGCCTTGGATGAAGTACTTCATTGCCGAAGGCTCTGTGAAATCACAATTGGTAAAGCTGATGTCTGAAGAAGCCCGCGATTGGGCCCAGAACACAGCAGAAGGTCGAATCCAGTTGTGCATGATGGGCCTTGTTGTCATCCACCTTTTTCAGTACGGCTTTCAGCTTTTGCATGAGTCTGGTGCCAAGATCACCCCATCATCCATCTTCCATGACCTGGAGGAAGACGAACCCCAAGTGAAGAACCCAAAGGCGCTCCTGGAGAAGCTTCGGAAGGATTTTCCAACCGTGACGATGTATGCAGGGGAGTACTATGCTGCAGCCTATAGCAAAGACTCGGCTTATGTCAAGGTGATGTCTGCCATGTCAGGCATTGTCCATGCGCTGTGTGCTGGAGGAGAGATTCACTTCATCAACGTGGATGCAGATGAGGCTTCTCTATGATCTCTATGCTTCTCTAAGATCTCTAAGCTTCGCCTGTGACATGTGATTGATATGTCCAAGAATCTGTTTAGAGATGTTTAGAATCTTTCCTGGATTTGTTTGGATCTTTGAGGTGTTGATATGTGATGCAGATTGCTCTGCGGAATTAAGTAAAGTGGTAAGACGCCAAGACTTTTCCTGTGATAGCCGTGATAGCTCACTTTAATCTTCTTTCGCTGTGCAGGTGAAGAGCCTTCACTTGGCGAATGCTGGGCTGGTACTTCAAGATTCGTGTGCAATGGTCCTTGTGAAAGGGTTGGTGGAGAACGAGGGCATTTGCCAGATCAAGCTGCCATCAAGCCCGTCAAGCTCCTCCAATGGAGTTGCTCGTGCCAACCAGTGTTTGGGTGTTTTCATGTCATGACTCATGACTGCCTCGGCAGATTGTATCAGAGGAGGGTTTCCTATTTTCTCTATGTCTTTTGCATATGTGACAGGCATCACGGCATCATGCAGAATTTTCAGCGCGACTGTGAGCCAATCTGAGCCAATCATCGCCGCCTGCTGAGGTTCAGAGCTCTCTGTATTCACCTGCGGACACAATCTTCGCAGGAAGTCTGCAAGAGAGCCAGTTGTCTTTAGAGGAGAAGGTGCAGCAAGTATTGTTGGTGTGCTCTGGAGGTGAGCTGGTTGGAAGAGATCAGTTGACCAAACTTTTTCAGGAGAAGAAGCACCCAGTGTGCTATGATGGCTTTGAGCCTTCGGGTCGTATGCACCTTGCCCAGGGAATCATGAAGGCCGACATCGTGAATCGCCTCACCAAAGCTGGCTGCGTCTTCGTGTTTTGGGTTGCGGATTGGTTCGGCTTGTTGAACAACAAGATGGGTGGTGACCTTGCAAAGATCCAAACAGTTGGGCGATATTTCGTGGAGGTTTGGAAAGCGGCGGGCATGAACATGGAGAACGTCCGCTTTCTTTGGGCCGCAGAGGAAATCAACAAGAACTCTGATCGCTACTGGCTCCTGGTGATGAACATTGCCCGAGCTTTCACCGTCAGCCGCATGAAGCGATGCTGTCAGATCATGGGCCGCCAAGAAAGCCGGGGGCTGAGATGGCTAGACTCGGCTAGATTTCACCAGATGACTTTGCATCGACAAATCACATAGCATATACAGTATTTGCCAAGTTATCCGAGTGGCATATAGGCATATACCAAATACATAATCAGAATCCAAGTAGCATACATATCGTTACAAACTGTAATGTATAGGTTTTAAGATTTCGAGATTCCTCTTCAGAACAGTCATGATTGCACTTGTCAAATGCCACAAATGCATACGAAATGCAGGGAAAGGGAAGAAACAAATCGTGCAGATCCTGCGGACATGGCTGAGGTGACGATATGCCCGCCGCGACAATCATGTATCCATGCATGCAATGTGCGGATGTGTTCTACTTGGGAGCAGACATTTGCCAGTTAGGCATGGACCAGCGCAAAGTGAACGTGTTGGCCAGGGAGTTCATGGACCGCAAGGAGTTTTGCCATGAGAAGCGAGAGAAGCCCATCATTGCTTCGCACGGCATGGTGCCGGGCTTGTTGGAGGGGCAAGAGAAAATGTCAAAGTCTAATCCGGACTCGGCCATTTTCATGGAGGATTCAGTGGAAGATGTGAGCAGGAAGATCAAGAAGGCATTTTGCCCTCCAAACCAGGTGGAAGGCAATCCATGCGTTGCATATGTGCGGATGATCATTTTCCCTCGGTTTGGTGAATTCGTTCTGAAGCGCAAAGCAGAACATGGGGGCAACATCCGCTTTGCTTCTGTGGAAGAGTTTGAGACCGCTTACGGTGCGGGCTCAGTGCATCCGGGTGATTTGAAGGCCAGTCTTGCAGAGGCCATCAATGAGATCATCGAACCTGTGAGGCTCCACTTCCGCGAGAACCCTGTTGCAGCCCAACTTCTGGAGACAGTGAGGCGCTACCAAACCACCAGGTGAGTGAAGACGATTGAAGACGTGTAGGTCGCATGTCTTGGGGTCCTTTTGGGTCCAACTCCAGGGTTGGCCTTGCGCAATCTTGCGCACCTGTGTCGTATTGACAGTGAATTCATGGAGCATTTGAATCATTTGGGCGTTTCACGCGCTTGACTTTATGCTACGTACTTTTCAAGTCCTGGGATTTCTGCTTGTCACCTTGACAGTTCAAATAGTTAACAGTTCCAGGACTTTTGCAACAAACGGCCTTTGCACCAGCTTGAGGACCGGTCTTACGTTTTCAGGCTGTATCACCGAAGGCTGCTTCAAAAAAAGGTGGGCGACTTGTGCAAGTCTTTGCAGTGCTTTGGTGGGACATGAGTGATCCTGCAAGTAAAGGGGTTGGTTGTGCCAAGCATACTGCAAGTAAAGGTGAGCCTTTGAAATGCCTTTGAATATGTATAGGCATGGCGTAGTCTGATAGCATGGCAGGGTCTTCTTCCTTTCCGCACCTGAAAATAAGCCCCTGCCCCCTTACTTGCACTTGCCTTGGAAGGTTGACTTGCCGTTGTTCATGGTGCTCCCTTGGTGCAGGCCTGGGGGCTTTTGATGACAAATAGTAGACATCGTTCCAGCCTTTCAGAACATGGAAGGCATGGGTCACTGTTGCATCCTCGGAAGTGATTTGTTGAACCACAGTTGCACATGAGGTGTTTTTTGCAGCTTTCATTTTTCTATGTGTCTCGACACTTACCGTGTGATTTAGTACATCAAAAAAAAGGGGTGCCCGAAACCTTCAAAATTAAGCCTGAATTTGAAAGTTTCGGGTGCCCTCTATTTTGAGACATTCCCACCTCCATCTTGTGAAATCTTGTGACAATCTTGAATTGAAGGCTTGCATGGTCGAGCTTCGGGAATGAGAGGTGCGCAGACTTGAGCTGTTTGACCTCTCACTTTGAGCAGGTTCACGGTTGGAACGAGACATCTCTAAAACTGTATACCTTGAAATGGCAGCTTGTGACGCTTACGGCGCCTGCGGTTGGAAATGGTTTGAACAATTTTGAACACGTCATGTTGTTGCCACAGCCATTTGGGATTTTGCTGAAGTGTCCGGAGCGTCCACCATTGTTCAGTCTTGTTCACCGCTCTTGTGATGGAGTTCATCATGGAATCTTCAAAAGCCACGTTGCGCCTCATGAGTGGCTTGGACTTCATGGTGGAGCGCCTCGAGCCGGAAGACCTCGGAGGTGACTCCATGAAGGGTTTCCGGCGCCACTTGCAGCAGGCCGAAAGCTCCCGTTTTTGCCTCATTGCGTTTTCCATGAATGCCAGCCTGGGGCAAAGCTCGAAGCTTCGCGAGGTTTGCAAGAAGAAACCTGAGATGATCCGAGAAGCACACGATTCGGCAGACAAGTTGCTGCCGGTTTTGGTGGGTCATACAGTGGAGGAGGGCACAGTGACGTTCGTGCTGGATATGTCCAAAGGTGGTGAGTATGACGACTCAGCATTCTTACAAGCTTGGGAGGAGGATGTTGCCAGCTTCCTTCGCGAACCCGTTGGGCGACAGACAGGAGCTGCCGCTGACACACATCGTCAAATCAGGCCTTGGATGAAGTACTTCATTGCCGAAGGCTCTGTGAAATCACAATTGGTAGAGCTGATGTCTGAAGAAGCCCGTGATTGGGCCCAGAACACAGCAGAAGGTCGAATCCAGTTGTGCATGATGGGCCTTGTTGTCATCCACCTTTTTCAGTACGGCTTTCAGCTTTTGCATGAGTCTGGTGCCAAGATCACCCCATCATCCATCTTCCATGACCTGGAGGAAGACGAACCCCAAGTGAAGAACCCAAAGGCGCTCCTGGAGAAGCTTCGGAAGGATTTTCCAACCGTGACGATGTTTCCAGGGGAGTACTATGCTGCAGCCTATAGCAAAGACTCGGCTTATGTCAAGGTGATGTCTGCCATGTCAGGCATTGTCCATGCGCTGTGTGCTGGAGGAGAGATTCACTTCAACAATGTGGATGCAGATGAGGCTTCTCTATGCTTCTCTAAGACCTCTAAGATCTCTAAGCTTCGCCTGTGACATGTTATTGATATGTCCAAGAATCTGTTTAGAAATGTTTTAGAATCTTTTCTGGATTTGTTTGGATCTTTGAAGTGTTGATATGTGATGCCGATTGCTCTGCAATGGGAACTAAGTAAAGTGGTAAGACGCCAAGACTTTTCCTGTGATAGCCGTGATAGCGCACTTTAACCTTCTTTCGCTGTGCAGGTGAAGAGCCTTCACTTGGCGAATGCTGGGCTGGTACTTCAAGATTCCTGTGCAATGGTCCTTGTGAAAGGATTGGTGGAGAACGAGGGCATTTGCCAGATCAAGCTGCCATCAAGCCCGTCAAGCTCCTCCAATGGAGTTGCTCGTGCCAACCAGTGTTTGGGTGTTTTCATGTCATGACTCATGACTGCCTCGGCAGATTGTATCAGAGGAGGGTTTCCTATTTTCTCTATGTCTTTTGCATATGTGACAGGCATCACGGCATCATGCAGAATTTTCAGCGCGACTGTGAGCCAATCTGAGCCAATCATCGCCTGCTGAGGTTCAGAGCTCTCTGTATTCACCTGCGGACACAATCTTCGCAGGAAGTCTGCAAGAGAGCCAGTTGTCTTTAGAGGAGAAGGTGCAGCAAGTATTGTTGGTGTGCTCAGGAGGTTGGAAGAGATCAGTTGACCACGCTCTTTCAGGAGAAGAAGCACCCAGTGTGCTATGATGGCTTTGAGCCTTCGGGTCGTATGCACCTTGCCCAGGGAATCATGAAGGCCGACATCGTGAATCGCCTCACCAAAGCTGGCTGCGTCTTCGTGTTTTGGGTTGCGGATTGGTTCGGCTTGTTGAACAACAAGATGGGTGGTGACCTTGCAAAGATCCAAACAGTTGGGCGATATTTCGTGGAGGTTTGGAAAGCGGCGGGCATGAACATGGAGAACGTCCGCTTTCTTTGGGCCGCAGAGGAAATCAACAAGAACTCTGATCGCTACTGGCTCCTGGTGATGAACATTGCCCGAGCTTTCACCGTCAGCCGCATGAAGCGATGCTGTCAGATCATGGGCCGCCAAGAAAGCCGGGGGCTCAAATGGCTGGACTCGGCTAGATTTCACCAGATGACTTTGCATCGACAAATCACATAGCATATACTTGCCAAGTTATCCGAGTGGCATATAGGCATATACATATATCAAATACATAGTCAGAATCTAAGTAGCATACATATCGTTACAAACTGTAATGTATAGGTTTTAAGATGTCGAGATTCCTCTTCAGAACAGTCATGATTGCACTTGTCACATGCCATAGGTACGGGATAAGGGAACAAATGGGAACAAACAGATCCTGCGGACATGGCTGAGGTGACGATATGCCCGCCGCGACCATCATGTATCCATGCATGCAATGTGCCGATGTGTTCTACTTGGGAGCAGACATTTGCCAGTTAGGCATGGACCAGCGCAAAGTGAACGTGTTGGCCAGGGAGTTCATGGACCGCAAGGAGTTTTGCCATGAGAAGCGAGAGAAGCCCATCATTGCTTCGCACGGCATGGTGCCGGGCTTGTTGGAGGGGCAAGAGAAAATGTCAAAGTCTAATCCGGACTCGGCCATTTTCATGGAGGATTCAGTGGAAGATGTGAGCAGGAAGATCAAGAAGGCATTTTGCCCTCCAAACCAGGTGGAAGGCAATCCATGCGTTGCATATGTGCGGATGATCATTTTCCCTCGGTTTGGTGAATTCGTTCTGAAGCGCAAAGCAGAACATGGGGGCAACATCCGCTTTGCTTCTGTGGAAGAGTTTGAGACCGCTTACGGTGCGGGCTCAGTGCATCCGGGTGATTTGAAGGCCAGTCTTGCAGAGGCCATCAATGAGATCATCGAACCTGTGAGGCTCCACTTCCGCGAGAACCCTGTTGCAGCCCAACTTCTGGAGACAGTGAGGCGCTACCAAACCACCAGGTGAGTGAAGACGATTGAAGACGTGTAGGTCGCATGTCTTGGGGTCCTTTTGGGTCCAACTCCAGGGTTGGCCTTGCGCAATCTTGCGCACCTGTGTCGTATTGACAGTGAATTCATGGAGCATTTGAATCATTTGGGCGTTTCACGCGCTTGACTTTATGCTACGTACTTTTCAAGTCCTGGGATTTCTGCTTGTCACCTTGACAGCTCAAATAGTTAGCCGTTTCAGGACTTTTGCAACAAACGGCCTTTGCACCAGCTTGAGGACTGGTCTTACGTTCTCAGGCTGTATCACAGAAGGCTGCTTCAAAAAAAGGTGGGCGACTTGTGTAAGTCTTTGCAGTGCTTTGGTAGGACATGAGTGATCCTGCAAGTAAAGGGGTTGGTTGTGTCAAGCGTAGTGCAGTGTCATTCGCAGATTGAGCCTTTGAATATGTATAGGCATGGTGTAGTCTGATAGCATTGCAGGATCTTCTTCCTTTCCGCACCTGAAAATAAGCTCCTGCCCCCCCACTTGCACTTGCCTTGGAAGGTTGACTTGCCGTTGTTCATGGTGCTCCCTTGGTGCAGGCCTGGGGGCTTTTGATGACAAATAATAGACAATAATAGACAATAATAGACATCCTTCCAGCCTTTCAGAAGTTATTTGTTGAACCACAGTTGCACATGAGGTGTTTTTTGCAGCTTTCATTTTTCTATGTGTCTCGACACTTACCGTGTGATTTAATACATAAAAAAAGGTGTGCTCGAAACCTTCAAAATTAAGCCTGAATTGAAAGGTTCGGGCGCCCTCTATTTTGAGACATTCCCACCTCCATCTTGTGATATCTTGTAACAATCTTGAAGGCTTGCATGGTTGAGCTTCGGGAATGAGAGGTGCGCAGACTTGAGCTGCTTGACCTTTCACTTTGAGCAGGTTCAATCTTGGAACGAGACATCTCTAAAACTGTATACCTTGAAATTGCAGCTTGTGACGCGTACGGCACCTGCGGTTGGAAATGGTTTGAATACGCCGTTGTCATGTTGTTGCCACAGCCATTTGAGATTTTGCTGGAGTGTCCGGAGTGTCCACCATTGTTCAGTCTTGTTCACCGCCGTTGTGATGGAGTTCATCATGGAATCTTCAAAAGCCACGTTGCGCCTCATGAGTGGCTTGGACTTCATGGTGGAGCGCCTCGAGCCGGAAGACCTCGGAGGTGACTCCATGAAGGGTTTCCGGCGCCACTTGCAGCAGGCCGAAAGCTCCCGGTTTTGCCTCATTGCGTTTTCCATGAATGCCAGCCTGGGGCAAAGCTCGAAGCTTCGCGAGGTTTGCAAGAAGAAACCTGAGATGATCCGAGAAGCACACGATTCGGCAGACAAGTTGCTGCCGGTTTTGGTGGGTCATACAGTGGAGGAGGGCACAGTGACGTTCGTGCTGGATATGTCCAAAGGTGGTGAGTATGACGACTCAGCATTCTTACAAGCTTGGGAGGAGGATGTTGCCAGCTTCCTTCGCGAACCCGTTGGGCGACAGACAGGAGCTGCCGCTGACACACATCGTCAAATCAGGCCTTGGATGAAGTACTTCATTGCCGAAGGCTCTGTGAAATCACAATTGGTAGAGCTGATGTCTGAAGAAGCCCGTGATTGGGCCCAGAACACAGCAGAAGGTCGAATCCAGTTGTGCATGATGGGCCTTGTTGTCATCCACCTTTTTCAGTACGGCTTTCAGCTTTTGCATGAGTCTGGTGCCAAGATCACCCCATCATCCATCTTCCATGACCTGGAAGAAGACGAACCCCAAGTGAAGAACCCAAAGGCGCTCCTGGAGAAGCTTCGGAAGGATTTTCCAACCGTGACGATGTTTCCAGGGGAGTACTATGCTGCAGCCTATAGCAAAGACTCGGCTTATGTCAAGGTGATGTCTGCCATGTCAGGCATTGTCCATGCGCTGTGTGCTGGAGGAGAGATTCACTTCAACAATGTGGATGCAGATGAGGCTTCTCTATGCTTCGCCTGTGACATGTGATTGATATGTCAAAGGATATCTTTGGAATCTTTTCTGAATTTGTTCGGATCTTTGAGGTGTTGATCTGTGATGCAGATTGCTCTGCAAGGGGAATTGCGCAAATGTAAGACGCCAAGACTTTTACTGTGATAGCTCACTTTAATCTTCTCTCGCTGTGCAGGTGAAGAGCCTTCACTTGGCGAATGCTGGGCTGGTGCTTCAAGATTCCTGTGCAATGGTCCTTGTGAAAGGATTGGTGGAGAACGAGGGCATTTGCCAGATCAAGCTGCCATCAAGCCCGTCAAGCTCCTCCAATGGAGTTGCTCGTGCCAACCAGTGTTTGGGTGTTTTCATGTCATGACTCATGACTGCCTCGGCAGATTGTATCAGAGGAGGGTTTCCTATTTTCTCTATGTCTTTTGCATATGTGACAGGCATCACGGCATCATGCAGAATTTTCAGCGCGACTGTGAGCCAATATGAGCCAATCATCGCCTGCTGAGGTTCAGAGCTCTCCGTATTCACCTGCGGACACAATCTTCGCAGGAAGTCTGCAAGAGAGCCAGTTGTCTTTAGAGGAGAAGGTGCAGCAAGTATTGTTGGTGTGCTCAGGAGGTGAACTGGTTGGAAGAGATCAGTTGACCACGCTCTTTCAGGAGAAGAAGCACCCAGTGTGCTATGATGGCTTTGAGCCTTCGGGTCGTATGCACCTTGCCCAGGGAATCATGAAGGCCGACATCGTGAATCGCCTCACCAAAGCTGGCTGCGTCTTCGTGTTTTGGGTTGCGGATTGGTTCGGCTTGTTGAACAACAAGATGGGTGGTGACCTTGCAAAGATCCAAACAGTTGGGCGATATTTCGTGGAGGTTTGGAAAGCGGCGGGCATGAACATGGAGAACGTCCGCTTTCTTTGGGCCGCAGAGGAAATCAACAAGAACTCTGATCGCTACTGGCTCCTGGTGATGAACATTGCCCGAGCTTTCACCGTCAGCCGCATGAAGCGATGCTGTCAGATCATGGGCCGCCAAGAAAGCCGGGGGCTCAAGTGGCTAGACTCGGCTAGATTTCACCAGATGACTTTGCATCGACAAATCACATAGCATATACTTGCCAAGTTATCCGAGTGGCATATAGGCATATACCAAATACATAATCAGAATCCAGGTAGCATACATATCGTTACAAACTGTAATGTATAGGTTCTAAGATTTCGAGATTCCTCGTCAGAACAGTCATGATTGCACTTGTCACATGCCACAAATCCATACGAAATGCAGGGAAAGGGAAGAAACAAATCGTGCAGATCCTGCGGACATGGCTGAGGTGACGATATGCCCGCCGCGACAATCATGTATCCATGCATGCAATGTGCGGATGTGTTCTACTTGGGAGCAGACATTTGCCAGTTAGGCATGGATCAGCGCAAAGTGAACGTGTTGGCCAGGGAGTTCATGGACCGCAAGGAGTTTTGCCATGAGAAGCGAGAGAAGCCCATCATTGCTTCGCACGGCATGGTGCCGGGCTTGTTGGAGGGGCAAGAGAAAATGTCGAAGTCCAATCCGGACTCGGCCATTTTCATGGAGGATTCAGTGGAAGATGTGAGCAGGAAGATCAAGAAGGCATTTTGCCCTCCAAACCAGGTGGAAGGTAATCCATGCGTTGCATATGTGCGGATGATCATTTTCCCTCGGTTTGGTGAATTCGTTCTGAAGCGCAAAGCAGAACATGGGGGCAACATCCGCTTTGCTTCTGTGGAAGAGTTTGAGACCGCTTACGGTGCGGGCTCAGTGCATCCGGGTGATTTGAAGGCCAGTCTTGCAGAGGCCATCAATGAGATCATCGAACCTGTGAGGCTCCACTTCCGCGAGAACCCTGTTGCAGCCCAACTTCTGGAGACAGTGAGGCGCTACCAAACCACCAGGTGAGTGAAGACGATTGAAGACGTGTAGGTCGCATGTCTTGGGGTCCTTTTGGGTCCAACTCCAGGGTTGGCCTTGCGCAATCTTGCGCACCTGTGTCGTATTGACAGTGAATTCATGGAGCATTTGAACCATTTGGGCGTTTCACGCGCTTGACTTTATGCTCGGTACTTTTCAGGTCCTGGGATTTCTGCTTGTCACCTTGACAGTTCAAATAGTTAACAGTTCCAGGACTTTTGCAACAAACGGCCTTTGCACCAGCTTGAGGACCGGTCTTACGTTCTCAGGCTGTATCACAGAAGGCTGCTTCAAAAAAAGGTTGGCGACTTGTGTAAGTCTTTGCAGTGCTTTGGTGGGACATGAGTGATCCTGCAAGTAAAGGGGTTGGTTGTGCCAAGCGTAGTGCAGTGTCATTCGCAGATTGAGCCTTTGAATATGTATAGGCATGGCGTAGTCTGATAGCATGGCAGGGTCTTCTTCCTTTCCACACCTGAAAATAAGCCCCTGCCCCCTTACTTGCACTTGCCTTGGAAGGTTGACTTGCCGTTGTTCATGGTGCTCCCTTTGTGCAGGCCTGGGGGCTTTTGATGACAAATAGTAGACATCGTTCCAGCCTTTCAGAACATAGAAGGCATGGGTCACTGTTGCATCCTCGGAAGTGATTTGTTGAACCACAGTTGCACATGACGTGTTTTTTGCAGCTTTCATTTTCTATGTGTCTCGACACTTACCGTGCGATTTAGTACATCAAAAAAAGGGGTGTCCGAAACCTTCAAAATTAAGTCTCAATTTGAAAGTTTCGGGCGCCCTCTATTTTGAGACATTCCCACCTCCATCTTGTGATATCTTGTGACAATCTTGAAGGCTTGCATGGTCGAGCTTGGAGAATGAGAGGTGCGCAGACTTGAGCTGTTTGACCTTTCACTTTGAGCAGGTTTATGGTTGGAACGAGACATCTCTAAAACTGTGTACCGTATACCCTGAAATTGCAGCTTTTGAACCAGTTTGAACAGGCCGTTGTCATGTTGTTGCCACAGCCATTTGGGATTTTGCTGAAGTGTCCGGAGTGTCCACCATTGTTCAGTCTTGTTCACC